CTTTGGGCCTCGCGGAGCCCTTCGACGACGCTTTCGCGAAACTCGAAAACTGGCTCGCGCGCAAGGACGCGCTGGACGCCATCGCCGGATCCTTCGTCGCCGGCGACGCGGGCCGCGACGAGAACCTCGTCGCCGCCGTGGCGCGCGTCTGCGCGGGCGACGCGCACGCCAAGGTCCGCGGCGCGGCCGTCGCGTGTTTGGGCGCGCTGGCGCCCGTCGTCGGCGGCCGCCACGACGCCGCGCGCGCGCTTTTCGGGCGGCTCCGGGACAAGCGCGGCGCCGCCGAGGCGCGCGCGGCGCTCGACGCGATCGCCGCGGCGTCGCCGGAGCTCGTCTTCGAGGACGGCCTCGCGGCCGCCGTCGGCCCGTGCCTCCGGAGCGACGGCGACGACGGCAAGAAGCGGCTGCCGCCCTTTGGGCGCGCGGCGGTCCTCGACTGGCTCGCGGCGCACGCGGGCGCCGCGCGGCGCGCGAAGCCCGAGGTCGTCCGGGACTACGCGGCGCTCGCCGCCGCGGACTGCGGCGACCGCGACGCCGCGCTCCGGGGCGCCGCGGTGGAGCTCCTGGGCGCCCTCGCCGCGCGGCCCAAGGCCGACGTCGACAAGGCCTTGAAGGGCCTCGACAAGCGCGCGCGCGCCAAGGTCGACGAGCGCGCCGCGGCCGCGCGCGCGAGCCGCGCGGCGGCGCGCGGCGCGCGGCCGCCGCCCGCGAACCTGCAGACGGCCAAGGCGACGCTCGTCGCCGACGCGCCCGCGCCCGCGGCCGCGCCGCCGCCGGCGCTCGAGGGCGTGTCGCGCGCGGGCGACCTCGCGCCGCCGAAGCTGCGGGCCGCGCTGCGCGACGCCAGCGACAAGACGGCCTGGAAGCGGCGCAAGGAGGCGCTCGAGGCGCTCGTCGCCGCGTGCGCCAGGGCCGGCGGCTGGCTCGACGCGCGGGGCGACGCGGACGCGCTCGCGGTGGCCCGCGAGCTCCGGCCGCGGCTCGGCGACGCGCAGCCGAAGCTGCGGCCCCTGGCCTGCGTCGCCGCGGCCGCGTGGGTGTCGCGCGTCGGCCCGAGCCGCGACGTCGCCGCGCGCGTCGCCGCCAAGGCGGGCCTGACCAAGGCAATGGTGTTCGCGGCGCTCGACTCGGCGCGCGGCGTCAAGGAGGCGGCTTTGGAGGCGCTCGGCGCCTGCGCCGGCGAGGCGCCGGGCAGGCCCGCCGTCGCGCGGGCGGTCGCGGAGCACGTCGCGCCGCACCTCGGCGCCGCGCTCGCGGGCGCCGCGTCGCCGGGCGCGAAGCCGGACCTCGTCGACTGGCTCGCGGCGCGCGCGCCGCTGCTCGACGCGTCCCACGGCGGCGACGTCGCGCAGCACCTCGCGGGGCCGCTCGTCGCGCTGCTCCGCGACAAGTCGAAGCGGCACCGCGACGCCGCGCGCGACGCGCTCCGCGCGCTGGCGGCCGCCGGCGCGCTCGCGCGGCCGGACCTGGACACGAGCGTGCGGGATCTGCCGTTGGCGCAGCGCAAGCTCGTCGACGCGGCGCTGGACGTCGCGTTCGGCCGCGCGGACGCCCCCGCGGCGGCCGCCGCCGCGCCGAAGCCCGAGGTCGCCGCGCCGAAGCCCGAGGTCGTCGTCGACGCGCCCGCGGCCGTCGAGG